CACTGACGTTAGTATTTCCCATTTATTTGATAAAAACACAAATACTGTGAAAAATAAAGAACAACTGGTGATGTTAGCAACTTTTGGATGTTTTCCTGGAAAGTCGTCTTTCTTATTCCTAAATTCTGAAGATGAATATCTGTTAGAACTTGGAGCCACTGTGTTGGAGGGCCACGTGCAGCCTCAGACATAGTCTAACTTCGAGGGTGGGCAGCCTTCAGCTCTGAGGCACAGCAGGGCTCCCCCCACCAACCCAGTTCTTGGTTATTTCTGAAATTGTTATTGTTCTAATTTCTGCTGGTTGTTGGTTTTAGCAATACTGGAAACAAGAGCCTATTGCTCTGTTGCTGAAAACACCAGTGTTTTTGTCATCTCATTAGTGCTAATAATTTCTAGAAATAAGTGGGATGACTTAGAAAGATCCAGAGCAGTAGATTAACTTACTCTCTGAACCATGTCTATGCCAAGGGTCAACCACGTCTTTGAGTACCAGGAGCACAGAAGAGATGCAGACCGGTCACTGCCCTGAGGAGTCCACAGTCCATCAAGGAAGACCGATGCAGAAAAGAGCTGCTTCACGCTGCACTGAGTGTCACAGTGGAGTCAGTCATGTTGGCACCAACTGTGCCGCGGTCACCTCCACCTGGGGAAAGGGCTGTGGGATCAGCAGAGACAAGAGCATGAAAAGGAATAATGTTTGCTGGAGGTTTCCATTTGCACGGCCCATGGAAGAGACTTGTAAGAGGTGGATTTGGCCAGCTGGGGATAGAATTAATAGGGAGTGGGTGATGGGGTAGGGTGGCAAGAATAGGCAAAGAGAGGTGTCCAGGCTGGTGTCCAGGCTTCCAGACTGAGTGTGCCCCATGCCCTGTTGGGATACAGCCTCTTGACATTTGATCAAGTGCACTCAAGGCCCTCTCTTGGAGACTGGCCGGGGAACCCAATGAGAAGCCGTCACCAGGCCATGGTAGAATGGACCCTGTGGAGAGGTCCCTGGGAATCTTTATAGGGTGAGGGTGATGCTTGGGCTCAAAGAAAGCGCTAAGGAGGGGGGAATGGTGGGTGCAGATGACAACATCAGGTTAAGGAAGAACACACAGGATGACACAAAGGCACAGAGGTCTTTGGTGGGCTCTGAGAAACAGCTGAGGGGAACCAGAGCAAAAACGGGTGGTGGCTGTAGCCAGTGTCTACACATGCACATGTATGTGGCGTGTGTGTGTACATATGTGTATGATGTGTACTCGTATCTGTGCATGTTGGGGAAGGCAGCAAGGCAGACAGCCTGCGAATGTAGGCTGGGGCAGTTTAACACCCAGTCCTGAAGTTGGACTGTACCTTAGTCCAGATGGGCGAGCAAGGAGGTGTTAAACTTGGGATCACATGATCAGATTTGTGCTTAGAAGTCTTCCCTCTGCTTCAAAATGCTGGGAATTTTGGAGACTTGGAAAAGACGGAGACTAAGCAGCTGAACAAATGAGAATGAGAAGTGCTGGTGACCTGATTCTCTCCCCTCCCTCCGTCGGAGAGAGCCTGTAGGTTGAGGTTTCTGCAGCAGTTCCATCAGCCTGTGGTGGTAGCTGACACTCAGCATCAACCCAGGATGGAGTTTAGGGCTTAGTGGCAAATGTGAAGCCTGGCGGGCCCTGCCTCGCACACTGAATTGCTGGTGTCACCCCAGTTGATGAATGTCTGTGACACTGGGCAGAGCAGTTCCACCCAGACGCCTTCATCGGATTGCACTGTTCGGAGGCTCATGAATTGAAATATCTTGAGTCAGAAGTCTTGGTCCCTTGCCTTGAGTGAGTTGGTTATTATTTTACGATTTGCACCGAACTGTGTGGATTGAAATACACAAACAGCAGTCGGGAAGTTAGGCCTTCTTGGTCTCACATAGACTTGTCCCTAACTTTACACACTTGGTGTCTGGACAGAGACCAAGGTGTAGTTGCCACTCCATGAGGGCCCTACCTAGTTGAGATAAGGAAGATCCAGGTTTTCACAGTCTGGCAGGTGTGCTTATGTCATTAGAACTGGAGAAGTGCGGGGTGGCTCTGAACCCAGAGCCCCAAGGCATCCTAGGAGAGGTCACAAATGGTTCTGCTTGTATACGATCCATGACCATCAGCCTTGCTCTTCTGTAGGTGGAGAGCTATGAACAGTGTTGCAAAGGAGCCTCATTTATATGACTGAACCCTGATAATGAAAGTACAGATCCCAAAATAGGGTATTTAAACCGCCCCAGACCACCCAATGGCTTCCTTTCCATAAATACGTATGAGATCACTTCCATATTCTGTGTGACGCTGTGTGAGTCACTTCCCTTTTGTGTCACATATAGCAGGATGACATTGAAGTAGACTCAATTCTATTTTCTTGGTCTGACATCCCGTGATTTTGTGATTAACTGCAGAGTAACCACTGCAGTGGCCAGCACGTAGGGACTTGGCTACACTGTGCACCACACCATGTGGTAGGCATTGGCCAGCCTCTCCTCCTGTCTTCCATGCAATGAACTTAATTTAAAATGGACGTTCAGGTCCAGAGACAGAGGTGACTTGTCACTGCCTGGTCTTTGAGAGCTGATTCCATCTTCTCAAAGCCACTGATTCATTGTTCACTTCTCTCTCCACTGCCTTCGGCTAAGCTCCTGTAGACTCTTTCCTCTAGGGCATCGTCACACACGGTTATGTCTGCTGAGCAAAGCTGCCTGCTCCTTGGACTTTATAGCCTGTTCCTGGGAACGCGTGCTGAGAATTCCTTCAGCCGTGGGCGTGCACGCTGGGGTCTGACCCAGGAGAGGGCCTGCCGGGTGCCGGAACTTCTTCTGCACTTGCTGATTCATTATCAGTGTCAGACAGTCTGCCATGTGAATGATGATACATGCGTGGTGTGTTCTGCTGAAGGAATCGTGTTCTCCAAGATTAACCTCGTGCCGACAGCCTGCTTATCTCCCGCACAGGGTCCCACCACATCCCTGTGCCCGTAGCCCAGAACAGACTGAAGACTTAAGTGTGATTGATGAAGGATGATAGGAGACCCCATGTCCCTGTGGTTTAGAAATGCAAAGGAGGGGATTTTTTCCTTCTAGATGGAGGGAAAGGCCGTGGTGGGGGGAGGTTTGGTGCTGCAGAACCACCGAGTCACTGGAGAGAGGCCCCTCGAGGGTGCACGAGGGTGCCCTCATGGGATCTGTGAGCTGGTGGCGTCGCTTGGACCGAGAGGGGCCGCGGAGGAGGGATTCCCCAGTGGACACGCTCTGCAGCTGTGCAGATGCGGCCCCTGGCCTTCTTCCCATCAGCTCCAGGACTTGGGCAAACTGCTGCCCTCCCAGAACCTCGGTTTTCACACGTGGCCGAGCAGGGATTTGGACGAGGTGCTCTTTCAGGGTGCATGGTGGTCTTCGCGGGCTTTGTGCTCATGGCCTGCGCTGCCTGCAGCCTCTGCTGGCCCCTGGGCCATGCCGTGGAGGTGGCCGATCCACCTTGGCCTTGCCCTCACGTGCTCTGGTGCTGCGTCCCCAACATGGCTAGGACAGGTCTGGGGCGGGATGAACACTGGATTGGGGCTGCCTTGTGTTTCACTCATCTGTCGTACTAACTCACTGTCTTTCATTTGAAAGAAGGTTGGTTACCTTGGGCATTTAGCAAGTTCTCTAGGGATTATGGGTTCGTTCTATACCTGGTGGGACAGATTTCCTTCTTCCGGCCCCATGAATTTTGGTGGAGAATTACACTGTTCCAAACCCATGGCCAGAGCGGGTAGGTCATATTTGTATGGAAATGGTTGCTTCGTTTTTTTGATCCCCATGTACTGGGCTAAACAATTGTGATAGAAACAATAAAAATGGGAGTTGCTTATTTTGTAGGTAGGCTCTGTACTAACTACTTTATCTATATCAGCTCTTCACATCCTCCCTAGATCCCCTTGTAGTCAATTCCATTTCCCCCATTGTACAGATGAGGAAATTGAGACTTGCAGGATTAAATATACTGCCAAGGTCACCCGGGGAGCAGGTGCCCGAGCTGAGATCGGAAGTCTTGTTTTGTGGCTCCAGAGCCCAGACTGCTGACCGCCAGGCGGGCACTGCCGGTACGGAACATTCCAAGGGGGCAGTCATGATCTCATGCACGGGGAGTCCAGAGTGGCTCGTTCTCTGAGGCCTGTGCCCCAGCCCCGAGGCCTGCGCATCGCCGCGGGGAGTTTGCTGGGTGCACAGCGCCAGCCGAGGGAGGAGGCGCGGCAGTAACTGCACCTTCATTTCAGTGGTTTATGGTACAGTGATGGGGTTTCTTCCATGGACAAAAGCCATCCTAATAGTGCCATTTATCATTATGACAAAGGTTAGGAGAGGGGAAACGCAAGCTGGAATGAAAGAGTGGGATTCTGATTATTTTAACAGTCGAAAGTGACATCACCTCAGAACCTCTATCGAGTGGCAAATTGGAAGCTGGACTGAAATTGCTGTAAAATGTATCCCGAGATGGTTTTCTGCAGCTGTGATAAAGTCTTTCGGCTCTGTTTGGAGATGCATTTCTGATAAAAGTGCTCGCAGTGCCGCCTGTGTGTCACCCATGCAGAGGCTGCGCTCCAGCCCCGTGACAGCCTAAGATTCTGGGTGCTCACGCGGGCCCCTGGGAGAGACTGCACCCAGGCCTGGGGCTGCCTTGGCCGCAATCCCACCTTGGCGTTTGAAGTGTTCCGAACATTTCTGTGTCATGAGTGATGTTTTATAGCACTTCATAGTCTGCAGTGATTTCCTGGGTCCTTCCATTGAGTTGAACGTAGGATTTTAGGGTAAAATCTTCGGTCCCCTGTTTGCGAATTGGAACAAATGAGCTTGCTAGCCAAGGATCCTTAGAGTCCCCTGCCTGTTTGACAAGATGCTGTTTGATGGTTGCGTTGACTGGTTGATTTTACCTTGTGTACTGGGAACCTGGAGGAGAGAGCCCGAGGGCCAGGGCAACCGCTAACGTCTTCCGTCTTTTTCTGACCCTTAGGCAAAAGAAGGGGAGCGTGGCCCACAAGCACTGGGCCGGACCTGCGAATCTGGTCAAGTGCAAGCCCTGTCCCGTGGCGCAGTCGGTCATGGTCTGTGGCTCTGATGGCCACTCCTACACATCCAAGGTTGGTCTTCTTTGTTATCTTTTTGTCTTCAGAAACATGCCTGGTTTATTTGTTCTGATGAATCTCTGTGTCAGATCGGGCATGGCACCTATGTGGGTGTGAGCACACTGAGAGATGCTTTAGCCACAGGCAAAAGCAAGATAAAGACATTACAGCCTGTGTTGCTGGGTCGGTCGAGGGAGGTTCTGAGAGCCACACGTGGTCTTGTGAATCCAGGCGAGCTTCCTGGAGCAGGTGAGGTAGCCCATTCTTCACAAGATGCCAATCACTGGCTCTGGCAATGGGAAGCAAACTGAGGGTGGCTCAGGGTGCTGCTTGGGCAAGGAGCGTGATGTCAGGTAGTTCCAGAATGCACCCAGCACTGTACAGGCCCCTTTCTCAGAGGGGACTCAGGATCTCACTGTGAAATGGGAGCAGGTGCAGATGAGATACAAGTCATTCTAATTCCAGCCGTTGAAGACAGCATGGGTTCACAGACAAAGGGACCAGGGTAAAAGGGGCCTGTTTATCCCTCCTTGGGGATGAGGGCTCTCTCTATGTAGGAGGAGCTTCTCTAATCATGGATTTACAGGCAGGAGGCACAGGTCATGGAGGTGGAGGATGGAGGTGACAGCTTGTTCTTGGGACTTCACGTGTTCTCCTTGGGCTAAGGTTATCCACTGGAATGTTTGGGAACAAGTGCATTTCCCTCATCTGATGGATTCAAGGAAGGGAAACCACTAATTGTCAAGAGTTTGCTTATGCATTTTCTTATGTAACAGATGTAAAGCAAGTGACCCCTTGGGTCTGATGCTGAGCGTGGGTGCATGTCTCAGTTTTTTCTGTAAGATACAGAGGGAGAGTGGAGCTCGGAGCCTCCTCATGTACTTGAGCCAGAGTTGTGCTGCTTGTACGTGTGGTCTGGTTTTTCTGTGCAAGGTTTCACATGCAGAGTGGCATCCGTGGCTAAGGGGAGGGCTACTGCAAGGGACGCCCCCGGTCACCTCTGGCTGCGCTGCCACGTGGTTCTTGGGCTTCTCTGCTGGGTCCCTTCTTTGTCCTTGCCCTGCCACACAGACACTTGACAGCTTCAGTCCCCAGAGAGCCAGCCCCTCCATGACCCTTATGCTCAGGCCCTGGAGAGCTGTCACTGCCCGCTGTCCACTGAGGCTTGCCCAGGTCGTTTCAAGGCCGGAGTTGCCCAAGCCGTATCTTTTTGTTCACTGGAAGTCAAATTTTATTCTCTTGGATTTTTTTAATAAAAGATTTATTGATTTATTTATTTGAAAGGCAGAGTTACAGAGAGGCAGAGGCAGGGAGAGAAGTGTGCTATCCACTGGTTCATTCCCGAAATGGCTGCAATGGCCAGAGCTGAGCCAATCCGAAGCCAAGAGCCAGGAGCTTCTTCTTGGTCTCTCCACATGGGTGCAGGGGCTCCAGCACTTGGGCCATCTTCCACTGCTTTCCCAGGCCATAACAGAGAGCTGGATCAGAAGTGCAGCAGCCGCGACTCAGATCGGTGGGATGCTGGCACCTCAGGCAGAGGCTTAGCCCACTGTGCCACAGCGCCAGCCCTCTCCTGAATTTTTACATTTTACCAACAGAGGAATATATCTCACGAGCAAGAATCTAGAACATCATTCTGGGTCACTGCGAGACCCATGCAAGCTGCTTTTGAACCTCGGTAGCATAATCATTGCTTGTTTAGTTCCTGTGTTCATTCAACGGGTGTCACATGGGCCCTTCCTGGATGCCAGGCACTGTGCTAGAATCTGGGGGATGCAAGCAGTGGGAATGAAAGCGTTGATTCTTCTTCATAAAGCATTGCTTCCCAATGGCATACCTGCCTTGTGAGTTAGGATTCTTCTGCCCAAGGCCATAACCAGTAGATCCTGGCTAAATAGCTCTAGCCTACACCAAGCCTCCCTCCTGGCTTCCCTGGCTGCCCATGGCCCTGATAAAGTCCAAGTGTGAGATGGTTGGTCGTTACAGGGCTCGCTTCTCACACCCTAAACATACCTTGCAGGAGGCATGGGCGCCTCATTTCTAGCCCCCATTCCCAAAGGCAGCTCAGGCTGTCCTTGTCTTCCACACAGAACCCAGATTATAGGTGAAACAAGCCCCGAGAATCCTGTTGATGTACGGGTTCTGGTAGGCTGGTTTCTAACAAGTTCCCGTGGGGGCCGCGCTGCTGTTCCACAGGAGTGAGGACCGCAGCCTGACAGGCAGTTTCTCTGAAGTCTGCCCCTACCCTGCCCCGGAGTCCATGTCCATGTAGCACAGGAAACCGCACAGTTGTGTAATACGAGTCTGCTGTGTGCGTCCCCTGCTTAAAAGGCCTGCGTAGCTTTTCTCTTGTTGCTAGAACCATGCTCAGACTCCTGGTGGTTATTAACCACGTCCCCCAGAGTCTGATCCCATCCGACCCTCAAGTCACTTGCAGGAAGGATTTTCCATTAGCTTGGCAGCTGTCTGCTGAACACTGGGCACTACAGAAAACACAGAGGGGCCAGTGAGGAGCAGGATGGGTGCCATTCCCGCTCTGCTTACAGTCTGGGAGGGCGACAGAAACAGCTAAGTAATCAGACAAATGAAAATGCAATTTCACATCTCAGCCAAGTGCTACAAAACGTGGAGCTTCAGGGGAGTGATGAGGTGTCCTTTAACCTGCGAGCAGAGGCATGGAATGTTCCAGAAAGAGAAGGTAGTGTAGGTCAGGGGGCAGGACATGCTTTTGCTTAGTGCCCGTCCATGCGGCTCTCATGGTGAGGGGAGAGGCACGGAAGAATACAAGGGACACAGAGCGGCATCGCACATTCTTAGAAGGGGAGGAGACAGTCGTGTGGTTCCAGGCTTGTGGGACACAATTTTCTTATGAATGTGAGATGCTAACAGTGCCCACCCCCACCGTCATCAGCACAGAGCTGTGTGCCAGGGGCACCCCACTGGTGTCACTGATGAAAGATGCCCACAAGGCCTCTGGCTAGGAAGGAGTAGGGAGGTTCCAGCCTGTACGGCCCATGCTGGAGCTGAGTGCATGGGGTGGGGAGTGCTTCGTGGCTGTAACCAAGTGGCCCCCATCCTGGGCCCAGCTGCTCAGCTAAATGGTCAGCCCAGGCTCTGGCAGCGCGCTTGCAGCTTCTGCCGAGGTGCCTCTCTGTGTGAAGACACAGCTTGTGCTCACCAGAGCATTCCCTCCAGCTGTGGGCCAAGGTGTTGGGTCATTAAGCCAGAGATTGGCCAGGCCCTGAGAAGGTAGTGAGGAACCAGGGCTGTTTGGGTATGTGGCGTATTACACGTCATATACCAGCAGCCCTGCCTGCTTAAACATGCCAGCTCCCCATAACCTCTGAATGACATAGAGCAGCGGTGGCCTGTCTGATGCGGTGGCGTGAAACACTGCCGGTTCCTAGGGCAAGTCTCTTGAAATGCTTGCAATGCTTGCTGCTCGAGAGAGGGAAGTTGGCCTCTTGTACATGGGGAGGGTGTCCTCTGGCAGCACAGCTAAGGAGCTGTTCTGAGAGGCAGGCTTGGGATTTGGGAGACTGTTCAAGTTGACTACTGGTGTGGTGCAGTCCCAGTCTCAGTACCAGGGGAATCGACACCTCATGTTAAAATAGCCCAGTTGTCCTGGGGATTCAACACTGCCTGGGGGGCCGTGGGGGGTGTCCTCAGAGGCAGGAGGAGGAGCCCGAATGTCAGATGCCTCTCTGTCCTCAGGCCTCATCAAGCAGGCTGTTGCAGCTGCAGCAGTCACAGACTGCTAGAACTGGGGGCTGCATTTAGGAGTGGCTGTCTACAGCAGACGTCTCTATTCCAGTTTCCCAGTGCCAGAGACCTCACTCAGAGCTGTGTGACTCCCCAAGCAGCAGATAAAGTGTGCAAGATGCACAGAATCTTGAGATGAAGGGGTGGGAGCTGTTCCTAGCCCATCAGTGCTCATCCAGTCTCTATAAAGCACAGCCCACAAAAGACAAGGAGGAGAAGGGCTCTGAGGGGCCGACACCGAAGCTGGTTTCAAAGGACACTGTAGCCTTGACCGATTTTTTTTTTTTTTTTTTGGACAGGCAGAATTAGAGAGAGAGGGAAAGGTCTTCCTTTTCTGTTGGTTCACCCCCCCCAAATGGTTGCTACGGCTGGCGCGCTGCGCCAATCCGAAGCCAGGAGCCAGGTGCTTCCTCCTGGTCTCCCATACCGGTGCAGGGCCCAAGCACTTGGGCCATCCTCCACTGCCCTCCCGGGCCACAGCAGAGAGCTGGACTGGAAGAGGAGCAACTGGGACAGAATCCGGCACCCTGACCGGGACTAGAACCCGGTGTGCTGGCGCCGCAGGCGGAGGATTAGCCAAGTGAGCCATGGCGCCGGCCAAGCCTTGACCCTTGACTTGGCTTCTAGGCAGTGAGGATTGCCCTGATCATTTTTTAACTATTCTGGATACTACTCACGTTCTTCCAGCCAGGAAACTGCAGTAGTGCAGACATTCAATAAGTATTTATTGAATTCTTTCTTACTGTGTGCCCTGCCTTGCACTAAAAACTAGGGATTTGGCAAAGGACAACCAAAGCCTCAGTTTGCATGGAATGTGTGAGGAGGGTGGATAGGTGGGAGAGCAGACCCCCTTCTTTAGAGTAGGTATTAGGGGGCCCGGCACTGTGGCATAGCAGGATAAGCCGCCTTCTCTCCTGGCGACTGCACAGAAAGAGTCAAGCGTGTGAGAGGGTGGGATGGGTGTCCTTGGCTGCCAGCATGTAGTTTTGTATGTGAGGGAACCCAGCCTGCCCAGGCTTCATCCAGGTGGGTGCCTCCAGGATTCTCCTGGGGGTAGAGGGAGCTGCTTTGGAAAACAAGAGCAGTCTAGAGTGGTGTTGGGGTCCTGGAGGCCGAGAGAGTGGCAGAGGAGGGGAGGAGGTCCCTGCTGCCCTGTGGCCTAGCCCTGGTGCGGGTCTAGTGCCAGGCCTCCTTGGACAGGACGTCATTGGCATCTGCGTCCACCAGACCAAAGCGGTGATGCCTGGTGTGCG